AATTCCCCCCCCCCCCCCCCCCCTTTATTTTTCCCCTGGTAATCCTGCCAGTACCACACTTCCTAGGCAAAGGTGACAACGCTCACTCACTGCACAGCATCTGCAGAAGCAGCATTGTCACCCTGATTTAGACTGCAAAGACCTCTCTCTCCACCATAACATAGAGGGGTGTGTGTTCTGTAGTTTACAGAGGAGAACTAGGAAGGCTGATAGCACCGTTTGAGGTTTCGGTTTCAGTTCAGTGCACAGGAAGTTAGAAGAACCCTGGATTTCCGGCAGGATCAACAGGTATCCTCTATACTTGCAGAGCACGGTCTTAGCCTGAAAAATGAGAACAAATGCAGCCAGCGCAGGCAATCTGCAATACACAAAGGTTTTGGTTTGGGGTTTAGATATACTTTAACTGTAAGTAACCAATGATGGGCATACTGAGAGTTGTAGTTCCTCAGCAGAGAACTGCCCAGTCTTTGGTTTTGTCTGACACATGCATACATGGCCTGTTGGCTACAAGGGTGCAAAAGCTGACATTTACTTCTGGACTGTATGAAGGAGAATATAAAAATAGGGGACCAGAGCTGGGCTTAGGGGTGGGTAGAAGATGTGGCTACCTTGAGCACTTTATAATGGGGGGTGGGGGGGGGGTGCTAAAAAGGGCAAGACCTGCAACCTATGCTGCCAAAATAATCCCAAGCTCATGGACAAGGGGTGCACTTTAGCCTATTCGCCACGGGCGATAGTGGACCTGATCCCATCCCTGTTGGGGGAAGTATGGTGACCACTTCTGCTAGTTTACAAACCACTGGGCTGTGTATGTGGCCAAGATTACCGATAGACTGCTAATGGTTTCCGGGTTTGACAGACCAGGGTGACACGGGTGACACGTGTGACCACGCAATGAATGTAGTTGGGGAAGTATGGTGACCACATCCATGTACAACTGCAATCATCGCATGGTCACAGTTGTCACGCTGCTATTTGTTCTGGGCTTGACAGACCAGGGTGACAGGTGTGGCCACGCAATGACTACAGGTGGGGAAGTATGGTGACCACATCCATGTACAACTGCAATCATTGCATGGTCACAGTTGTCAGACTGCCATTTGTTCCGGGTTTGACAGACCAGGGTGACACCTGTGGCCACGCAATGACTGCAGGTGGGGAAGTATGGTGACAACGTCCATGTACAACTGCAATCATTACATGGTCACAGTTGTCAGACTGCCATTTGTTCCGGGTTTGACAGACCAGGGTGACACCTGTGGCCACGCAATGACTGCAGGTGGGGAAGTATGGTGACAACGTCCATGTACAACTGCAATCATTACATGGTCACACTTATCATCCTAGTCTGTCAAACCCGGAACAAATAACAGTTCAGGATATCAGTAATCTCGGCCACATACAGCCCAGTGGTTTGTAAACAGGAACCTAGAAATGGAAGGCAAGTGTATGGCTAAATCTGAGCAACCCCACCACCAGTCCTGGGCAAGAAAATGCCACATGCAGACCAAATCAGCCTGTAGATGTGGTAATCTCATGACTACAGATCACACCCATTTGTTTAGTGGGGGATTTCCCAATTATCTGAAAATTGGTGATTAAACTTGGCCCGTACCTGCAGTATAAGGAAACCTAGAGCTGGATATATAGATGTGACTGCTGGTGCATTAATCCGCTTTAATGAGATGATATACCTGGGATCAGTGCGGCACCAATCACCAGCCAGGTGTATACATGACAGGCAATGCCAAGGCTAAGTCACAATGCCGAATGGAACAGCAGCAGAGCCGGGCTACATGTCAGTCTAGACTCCATGTGCTGAAAGGACCCCCTGTGCTCAGTCTACAAACCATCAGACACATCAGGGGGAAGAAAAGGAAAAAAGAAACCCCCTCCATCCTGCAGCCTGGGAATGGAGAGGGTGACAGATCTGTTCTCTATGAATTAGAGAGCAAGCATTTGACACAAGCTGGCCCTGATCTCAGACCCCAATGATCCAAAACACACACACAGCTCCCCAGCTCCACTTAACCTGCAACTTCCAAGCAGCCAGACAAAAAGGGGTCTGCCATCTGAAGTGGAGGGGAGGACAGAAAAGTCAACCCTGGGTGACCTTGGACAGTCCCCCACACCAAATCAGAGGCGACCTATTAAATCCCAATCACACAGCCAGGGCTCAGATCAACCCCTCCAGCAGAGGGCAGCCCAACACCACCCCACAGCTGCTGCAGAACCTCCTGGCAAGCCAAGCTGTCACTCCACGTCAATGATTGACAGCTTCTCCCCTCCAAGAGCCTCATCTACACGCACAGGGGGTGCAATGCCAACTGCACCTTAGATGTCCCCCCCCTCCCTTCCCATACCCCCAACCAGCACCTACCCGTCCTCCAGGCAAGGAGAGCGCTCACATCCCGGGCTCTGCGGCACTGCCATCATCATCGTCATGTGTCACATAGGATCCGATGGGGGGAAAATGGCGGCTCCACGAGTCCAGGGGAGGAAAAAAAAAAGAAATCCAGCCCGGGGAAAGGAGAGAGAAGAGAGGGGGTGGCAGGCAGAGTGGTGGTGGGGGAGGGGAAAGGAGGGGGGGGGAGGTGAAGCTGGTATTATCCCAGGCGCTCAGGATTTGCTGAGGGCTGCAGTTTACCCATACGCCGAAACGTTGCCGCTCCCGGGCCGGTTACGAGGTTGTAAATCCAGATCGGAACGAAACGCGGAGCTGGCGAGACTTGGCCAGGGCTGCTAGACCGGGGCGATCCTTTGCTGGACCCGGTAGATCGTTGCAATCCTTTGCTGGCCCTAGTAGATCGTGGCAATCCGTTTCTGGACCCAGTAGATCGTGGCAATCCCTTGCTAGAGTCGGCAGACCGGTGCGATCCTTCCTGATAGTAGGGATCTTTTCCTAGAGCTGGTAGATGATAGGGATACTTTCCTAGTGATGATAGATCGTTCCCGGGTCTAAACAGAACGTTGCAGATCTTCCCCAGTCTTTGCGATCCTTTCCCTGTCCAAATACAAGGTTCCGACCCCTTCCCAGCCCGGACAGAACGTTGCGGATCTCTCCCGGACGCAGCGCTTCCTCTTCGGGATAGAATGTTGCAGATCTCCCGGTCCGGATTATCCGTGCGCTGGGTCCGATGCTGCGCTCCTTCTCCGGATGGATCGCTTCCTCTCCTGGATACAATGTTTCTGGAACGTTTCCTCCAGCGGATACAATGTAGCTGCGCGGCTCCCCCTCTGGATACAACGTAGCGAATCTTCCCCCCTCTGGATACAGCGCAGCGAATCTTCCCCAGTCTGGATACAATGTATCTGCGCGGCTCTCCCCCCTCCACCTCTCCTCTTTGCTCTCCCCGATCCAGATAGTGTAATGTAGCACAAAATGTCCGCTCCGCCTGTCTAATGAAAGCCAAGAGCCGGCCGTACACCCCCCTCCTCCTGTGCGTGTGTGTATGCGCGTCTCTCCCGCCTGGGATGTCTGTCCCTTCT